GTGTGTGTGTGTGTATGTGTGTGTAATAATATAATATAATATATATATAATATATATAATATATATAATATAATATAATATATATATATATATATATTATATATATATATATAATATATATATATATAATATATATATACTCTCTATCTCTCTCTCTCTCTACCCCACTCTCTCTCACTATACCCTCTCTCTCTCCCTCCCCCTCTTTCTCTCTCTCTCTTCTCTCTCTTTCTTTTTCTCTCTCTCCCTCCCCTCTTTCTCTCTACCCTCTCTCTCTACTCTCTCTTTCATTCTCTTCTCTCTCCTACCCCTCTCTCTCTTTCTTTCTCTCTCTCTCCCTCCCCCTCTTTCTCACACATACACACCGCTTTCAGTTTGTTTCATCAGATTTATAACATTATATTCTGAGTGCAACACAGTTATCGTCTACTGTTGGAAAAAATAAAGATGTACATGAAATTATATGATAATTAAAAAAAGACAAGGTATAGTTTTATATAGTACGTATGACGAATGAAACTGTAATTAAATAAGATTATTAATAGGTCATTTGAGTGACACATGAAGCAGTAACTAAATAAAATTATTGATGAGTAAGTTGAGTGACACATGAAACAGAAATCAAATGAAATAATTAACAAGTCAACACCCTAACCGTTGTCTATAATATGGAGTAAATTAGCCATCTGTCATTGTCACGGATTCGGCGTCATGTCATGGCTGTCATCATTTCGTTTCGTTGAGGGGGAGGGGGGTTGGGGGTGACCAGTGCCACCTCTAACAGCATTCAAAGATTTTCGAGAAGACTTACACGATCAGAAAAGAAAACAACAGCTTTCGATTTTATTTTATTGCTCAACAATGATAATACTTTAATGTATGTCTTTGTTCGTTGTGTATTTGACATTACGAGTATGTCCCTTTAATAAACAGTCAGACACATTCATTCTGATTATTACTTCTCCTTTCTTCCGCTTCTTTTTGCTAATAAATTTCCTCTAGTTAATTTCTCTTTGACCATCAACAACATCTAAATTTGTGTCTCATTTTGGAAATAAGCCAACATGGCATCACCTCGCTTCGTCTTTTTCTCCTGAACCAACCAGGAGTCCATTGCGGTATATGATATTCATCCTTATTCACATATATACTCATGTTTAACGGCCGGTTCGTTAAAATTGTGCGAAGATATATAATCATGTTTAACGGCCGGTTCGTTAAAATTGTGCGAGGACCCGGACTCAATGGGTATACACATATACGGATATGCACTGAAATAAATGCATATCTTTCGGTCTATCAGACAGATATACATTTATCTATCTATCTGTCCAGTTGATATCCGTGTTTAGAGCAACAGATGTGTATTTATTTGTGTGTATATGCAGGTCTGTATTATGGATATTTATCAGGTCCGGTCTCGCACAATTTTAACAAAACGGCTGTATAAATAGGATTGTTCCTTGCTACACTTCTTCCT